TCCGGATTCAGGAATCGCCCGTTGCTTTACTTTCGGTGGAAGCAGGCATAGAGTACTCCATGACCCAAAAATTGAACCTCGATCAGATCTGTCTAAGGAAAATTACATGAACAAAGAAGAGCAGACTGCTGTAAATCATTTTCATGAGAAGCTTCTCAAATTGAAGGACTTGATGAAGACAAAGGTCAACTTATCGTTTGTTTCTGTATATTTTGTTTTACCCCTTCAGAATAAATTCTGCAGGATGAATTTTCATGTGAATCATCTCTTCATTACAGGCTGGTAAGAGAAGGGCTGAGAAAAGGCACAAATTTATGGAGGATTTTCTGAAGGAGTTCTATGAAGAGTGGAATGGGAGGGCTTAAATGAGGTAGCAGTTTTCCAATTGATGTTGCATGTTCCTAAATATATTTCTTTGTCGTGGTTGCGCATAACTAAATTTCAGAAGTTCTTTATATAATAAACACTATTTAACGAACTGCTGCATCCTAGGATAGAGTCTCGACAACAACATACCTAGTGAAATTCCACAAAGTGAGGTCTGGAGAGGGTAGCGTCTAAGCAGTCCTTGTCATTATCTCTCCAAGGTAGAGATGTTGTTTTCGAAAGATCCTCGGCTCAAGCAAATCACAACAATAATAAAATGGAAAAAGATAGTGGGAAGAACCATGCAAACTAATAGCAAAGCAGTGTGGCCCATATATGCCAGGAACCATAACATCAACAACAAAGTGAGATCATCTAAACACAGTAATAGGACAAAGACTACATTGATATTACAATCGACACGGTGTTGTATTCACCACGAAACCAAATACATGAATAAGCTAGTAATAGGATAACTCTTAACTACTTACTAACCTTCTACCCTAATCTGCGATCTCCTTACCTCCTTATCTAAGATCATATCCTTGGTAAGCTGAAAATGTGTTATATCATGTCTAAACACCTTCCTCCAATACTTTTTTGGCCTATCTCTACTTTACCTCATTATATCCAACTTCTCACACCTCCTTACCGAAGTGTGTGCACATCTCCTTTTCACATGCCCATACAATTTTAGTCTCCCTTCCCTCAACATGTCCACCATGGAGGACACTCCCACTTTGTTTCAAATACCCTCATTCCAAATTTTATTGCTCCTAGTATGCCTATACATCCATCTCAAAATCCCCATTTCTGCCACTTGCATCTTTTGAACACAAGAGTTCTTGACTGACCAACACTTCTCTCCATACAACAAAGGCGGTCTAACCACCACTCTATAGAACTTACCTTTTACGATTTAGTGGTACTTTCTTGTCACATGACGCTGGATGAAAGCCTCCACTTCATTCATGTCACACATGTGTGATATCCTCGTCAATCTCTCTATTTCCTTGGATCAGGACTCAGATACTTAAATACTTCTCTTTTTGCAAAAACTTTTGTGTCAAGTATCACTTCTACACTACCTCATGCATCACACCACTGAATTTACATTCCAAATACTCTATCTTGGTACTGCTTAATGGAAACCCTTTTAACTTTAGAGATGGTGTCCACACCTCCTACCTAGTGATAGTTCTACTGAGAGTCTCTTCGATCAAAACAATGTCATCTGCAGATAACGTAAACCATGTCACCTCACCCTGAATTGCGTCAATTCATCTATCGCCAAGGCAAAAAGAAATGGTCTAATAGCTGATCCCTGGTGCGATGCCATCTCAATTGGAAAGTGACCTGAGTCTCCTCACACGTTCTTACTCGGGTCTTTGCTCCATCATGCATATCCTTTATCCCCCTAATGGATGCAACCGGTACACCTTTTGACTCGAAACATCGCCAAAGAACTTCTTTAGAGACTTTGTTATAGGCCTTCTCAGGTCAATGAATACCAAATGCAATTAGGTGGTACCTTTTTATCACACGAGACTTGTGAAATCAGGTTTTGAGCCTAAATCACCACAAAAGCTAGCTCGAAGGAGTCTACTCATCTCAATAATCACTAATGTGGACTTTTGTTATTTTTTAACACCCCACCTTACGCCCAGTGCGTAGGCGACTCTGATTGTTAGGGGGCCTAATATTGGGTGAAATGGGCCCTGTTATGATATCATGTGAAAATAGAAGAAGAAGAAGAGGAGGAGGAGATATTGAGAATTGAATTGGTTGATCATTTCCTCAAGTTGATGGAATTAAATAGTTGTTGCGGATAATGTAAATAAGGAAAGAAGATAAATAAATATTAGACAATCTCCTAATTGCCTAATTAAAGGGATTAGGGAATATTCTCATATCTAGATTATTTAATCATGTCATATTTGAATATTCTCATATCTATACTATCTAAATATACCATAATTAACATTCCACCTCAAGCTGGAGCATATAAGTCATAGTACTCGATCACCCCGACATGAATCCAAATTGATTCTTGGAAATGGACACCCATCTCCTCACCCTCGTCTCTACCACTCTCTCCCGAACCTTCATAGTGTGGCTTAGCAAATTGATACCCCTATGTTTTGGATACCACCCTTGTTCTTGTACAATGGAACCATTGTACTTTACCTCTATTCGTTGGACAATTATGCCATCTTAAAAACAACATTAAACAACCCAGTCATTATGCATTATATCATAACCAAAATATCACCCTTCTGATATCCTATGATAGAGTCTAATTAACATAAAAGGGGAATAGTTCTGATTGAAGGAAAAATGGTACAAATTCTTTAAAATACTAGGAGATATGGTGGTAAAAGAGCTAAAGCACTGCCTTTTCAGATATAATAGTGTATACTACTTCAGTTACCTGATCTTTCAGCAATCTGTTTAGTTGTTTTAATGAAGAAAGTGCCTTTAGGGATCATGCTGATTAATTAAACAATCAAAATACTGTTTCCTTTAGGTAGTTAAGATATCACTAGGAGTCACTGAGTTGTCCAAATTTTTAGCAAGTTTGACAAATGGAGTTGAGTAGATACCTATCTCTAAGGGTGTATTTTCATATCTAGCATGATTTCTATTAAATTATGCATGTTTTTTTAGTCACATTTTTAAAATGTTCCATGCTTCACATGTTATCACATTTGCGGAAACCACATCTCTACCACCACGAGGTAGTGGTAAGGTTTGTGTACATTCTATAATCTACCCTCCCGAGACCCCCACTTGTGGGATTTCACTTGGTATATTGTATTACAACCTTGCATGTGTAGACTACTGGTTGTATTGTAGAGTTTTAGCTTTAATCCAATGCTTAGATCAATATTTTGGTTATGGCATAATGCATAATGTGCTGCTTATGTTACTTGCTAAAACCACGTCTCAATATCATCACATGTTACAGAATTACATATGTTATTTCAAGTAAAGCTATATGAAATATGTTCTAGATGTGTTTTTAGCTATATTATGCATTGTGCATATGTTGACTATGACTAGGAACATACTTTTTCTTTTGTGAGGAATTTTGAGAGATCTAAATTGACATTCACTCTCTTTTGTGGGGCATTATTCAGAATATTATACTCATAATAGTAGGCAAAATCAGATTTTGTTAGAACTCTTAGTTGACAAGAATGGTGTTATATCTCCGTAAAGCACACACGAAGTGCACAGAGACCTAGCAGATCAGAATTTGGGTTGGACTGGTGTTATAGAGTTCACAGTGCACATTGTTTCAAATTTTGATAGATGTGATCCTCCCACAAGTTAGATAAATTTATATATACTTGTATATATGTGTGTAGTTTTAAAGTCTCCATTGGAGTATTCAAATTTATTAGTGTGTAGGGGTGGCAATTTCAACCCATATTAATAAAATGAGCCCATTTTGACCATATATAATGACGTGGATCGCTCATATTATAATTGGTCAAATATGGGCTTCTAGCTATTTTAAAAGTCTCTTCAAATATGGTCAAAATGGGTTCAATATGGGTATCCATTTGATCCATATTAGATCACTTATTTTCACTCACTCAACAAAAAAAAATTAGAGGTAGGTTGGTGGAAGTTGGGGTGGAGTGGGGGTGGGGGGCGGAGAATGCCCGGGAGGAGAGGATAAACTTCTTCTTTTTTTTTTCAAAAATAGATTTTCTTTTTTTGAAAAAAAATAGGGTATGTTGGTGGAAGGTGGGGTGGGGGCAGGGGGTTGCCAGGGGGCGGGGTAAATTTTTTTTATTTTTTTTTGAAAAATAGATCTTTTTTTATTTTTGAAAAATAATTTTTTTTTTAAAGGTAGGTTGGTGAAAGGGGGAGGGGGATATGTGGAGAGGGGTACATTTATGTTTTTGAAAAACAAATTTGGTTAAATGGGTTAGAACCATTTTGACCAAACCATATTTGACCATATTATTTGGATGGATTATGATCCAACCCATTTTTTCTCAAACCATATTTTCAACCCATGCAAAACCAATTCAATCCGACCGTTTGCCACCCCTACTAGCATGTATTGAAAATAGTTTTAGATGTTTGATCAGAACAGACAGAGTTTCGACCGTCACCTTATTTTACACATTCAAGATATACTAGCATCTATTATCAGAAGTTGTTTAGCATGTATTTCATTTGCCAAACCTTATTCCAAGAGTTGTAGAGTTATGTAATTGCGGATCTGTCGACTTATGCCTCGCCTTTTACATTACAGATTGAGAAGTTTTTACTATCGATCAATGACCAAACAACATATAGTGCGCTGGTGTGCCTCTCACGACTTCTTGGGTGTTGTGTTATTCCTATCTTGTTTAAACATTTCAGTTGGTTTGTTACTCTAGAGTTTTGCGCCAATCAACTTTGTAATGATCATGTATTCGTGCTGGAATATTTGATACTTTATGTTCATTCTATTAAGCATCCAACTTGAGATGTTGATATTGAGGCTATATTATTAGCACTTCATTTAGCTTTTTTCAAACATAAGCTACAACGTTTGGTGTGTTTTCACAGAAGGTGCTGCTGGTAGAAATATTATTGCACTGAAATTGAGAGGTTAGTGTAATGGAACAAACTTTTTTTTTTTGTAATGTCATATGTCAATGGTGTTCTTAGTTTATCTACAATAATATTTCTAGTGGATAGAACAATTCTTCTTCTTACCTTTTATGCGTGGGTGGAGTTATTATGTCTACTAAATATATTAAAAGGTGATTGAACACTCCATATATAAAATTGTGAACAAAATCAACATAAAATATAGGCAAAAAAATTAGGGATTGACCAAAAGTGTCAATATTCTGAACATGAAGGACTATTTCATGGAAAATTTCAAAAATGACTTTGAGTCTTAACAAAAAATAAGGAACTATTTTGGGGGATTTTCTCTTTCTTTTTGTGTGCGTGCGGATCCAATAAGCATAGTTTTTCCATTTATTTATGGAAAATGACAGAAATATACCTTAAAGTTCTCTTATTACCATTATCCTCTATTAGTTTTGCAAATTTTCAAAATTCCTTATTGTCACGCATCATATTAATGTATCAGCGCATCAAATTAATGTATTTTGCGCATCTAATTAACGTATCTTGCACATCAGATTAATGTATCTCGTGCATCAGATTAGTGTATCTTGTATAAAATGTACATCAGATTAGTGTATCATGTATAAAATGTAGCATCTTACTTAACGATTAATATATCTCGCGCATCAAATCACTTGTATTATTGTATTGGTTTGAGAAGTTTCTGTAATTATAAATTTATAAGGGACAAATGATAATTTTACCTTAAAAGTATGCATTTTTGTTCTTTGCCCATTACTAATTTCAGCGTACTTTGGCAAGTCCAATTTTAGTCCGATCCGCCATTTGGCACCCCTAATTCCAACTTAACCAAAGTCATAATTTGGGGATGTTGAAAGCATCGGTCATAACTTCCGAGCTATTTGCAAGTCTTTGAAGAAAGGCTAAAGAATCTGAAGGAAGAATTGTCCGAACAACTTTTGTTGGAAGGAGAAAGATATTGAAAAATGTGATTTGCATCATATTAATCTCATTTATTAATAATGTGATACTGAAAAATATTTCTAGTAATGTGATACTGAAAAATTAGAGCATGAAACAAACAGAAAGAATGTAGTATATCAAAATTAAAGAATCATAGCAATCAACACATATTCTATTATTCGAATCACTCACCTTATGTACCTATTTCAATCTTTTTTTTTCCTTTCTTCTCAATACATGGGTGTATGTTTATATCACTGAAATTTGTTCTTTAAAAAATTACAAAAAAAAAATATAGAGAAAGGATCGTACGTACAAACATTAGAGAAAGTAATTGTTGTTGTTCAGAGGAAGTTGAGATTGATCGCGCCTGGAGAGTTTGACTTGTAGTCCATACTTGAGGTACATAGTAAGAGCCAGTTTAGGCATAACTGGATGTCCTTTCACTACTTTAACATGGTAACGATAAAGGATGGATGCAGCTGTGAATTTCATTTGATAATAAGCAAAATCTTTGCCTAAGCAAAGGCGAGGTCCTCCGTTGAAGGCAGTGAAACGGTATGCTGGTTCACTCATGTACCGTCCATCTCTCAACCACCTTTCAGGTTTGTATTCTCTGCAATCTTTACCCCATATACCTTCCATTCTTCCCATTGTGTAGATTGCATACACCACCTTTGTTCCCTTCTTCAATACTGTCCCGTCTGGGAATACATCGTCTTCAACAACCTACACATAACAACACAAATTGTTGATCTTTCCTCTTCAAATGTTTAATAATTTAATGTTAAAAAATCGACAAGTTTTACCTCTTTGTGATCAACTGGGACAGAAGGGTATAATCTAAGAGCCTCAGAAAGAGCAGCTTGTAGATATTCCATTTTCTTGATCTCTGCTGGCTTGAAAATCAACGGAGTTTCATCAATAGCATCTCCTCTTTCATTCAAAATCTTACAAATCTCAGCTAAAATCCTCTGTTCAACCTCCGGATTACGATCCAACAGCCAGAAAAACCAGCTTAATGCAACTGAAGATGTGTCTCTTCCAGCTAGAATGAAATTCACACATATATCTCTTAAAAACTTATCTGAAAACGGCTGTCCTTGTTCGTCTCTTAACCCCATAAACACTGTTAAAAGATCTGATCTCTGTTTGCTATCTGCTAAACAAAGCTCTTTCTTTCTTGTTCTAATTACTTCATCAGCAAATTCGTCAACTTTTTTCAGCGAATGTTTAAGTGTCTTCTCTGTTCCTAACCCGAGGCACCTCATGGTTTTCCATACAAGTGTAGGAGTGACAAACCGTAGAACGGTTGCCTCTGTTGCTAATTCAAAAGCTTTAGCAAATGGAATTTGAGGTAAGTGAGGGTGGAGACACCCTGGATCAACCCCAAAGGCAATCATGCAGACGTTATCGAATGTGAGCCTAAGGAGAACATCTTGAAGATCGATAGGGATTGATTGTTTGATTGAATCTTCTAAAACAGGTAAGAGCCTAGAATGAACAAGCTCCAACAATGAATCTGCCGTCATGTTCCGAAACTTAGCAGAATGGAATTCAATGCTGGCTGGTTTCCTCTGTTTCTGCCAAATATCATAATCTGCATTGAATATTCCATCTCCAAGAAGGTCTCGGACAGTGTTCCGAAAGTAGTCTCCTTTTGGGAAATTTGAGAAGTTTGTCTTAAGAAGATACTCAAGATTCCGGGGATCAGATGTCACCACACAATTGAGGTTAGTAAACCATGGACCTCGGAATGTAAATGTCCCATTCATGTGGCAGAGAACATCAGAAATCCACTCATACATGTCTTTACGTAGGCCTAAAATCAACGAAGGCAACATCCCTACAAATGGCCAGTTCGGTAGTCCTTGTTTTTTCGCTTGCCTTAAAGAATGTATAGCGATAAAAACAACAAGTGCGATGAATATTTCCATGATTTGTATATGTGGCCAGAGAAACAAACTGAGATGTTCAAGTGAGGAGGAAGAACAAGTCATGTTAATGGAGGTGAATGTAGTATTCATGAGGTTGAGATGGTAGAAAATATTGTTTGTTGTAGCTGTTATAAGCATGGAGTGATTGTTTTGGTGTGATTTCTATTGCTACAAATATAGCTTGTCGTTTCTTGTTTACAGTTTTGATTTGGTGAGCTGAAAATAGAAAAGAAATTACTCTCATCTATATATGTTGTGATCTCAAATCACATTTCTTGTTGAAGAGGGTTTTTTTTTTATCAACAATCAAACTGTTTTTTTTAATCTTCTTATTTGAAAAAAAAAAATTGAAATATATTTGAACCAGTGTAACATTTCCATAAATTACTCACGTAGACAAGTTACTAATTGAAATATATTGTGATCTCAAATCACATTTCTCGTTGAAGAGAGTTTTTTTATCAACAATCAAACTGTTTTTTTAATCTTCTTATTTGGAAAAAAAAATTGAAATATATTTGAACCTAATAGTGTAAAATTTCCATAATTTACTCACGTAGACAAGTTACTATTTATAATTATGTAATTTTTATGATGTCTACGTGGACAAATATATATTTTTAAAATACACTATTAAATAGTGCATAGTTCAAAGGTCATGCCCAAAGTATGAAATTGTCACAATAATTTCAATTAAAATTCGAAGATGTTTCTCCCTTCTTATTGATTTTAAAATATAAACGTGCCTCTTATTAAACCCCCATTGACTATACTCGGAAGTTATTTTTTGCAATAGAGTGGGTGAGATAGTTAACCTAAGTTACAACAGTTTTCTAGTACACGTTTTTGCCCTTTACTTCTTTTCCTACAATCCATACAAATTTCAAAATAAGTTTGCCGTTTAGCTACAAAAACTTATTGCTTCTCTCTTCACCCTTCTTTATTAGTATGGTGGTGCCATGTGGAATTTCTTCTGCTTTTTTTTTTCTTAGTTTTTGTGCAATTGAAGCAAAATCAAAATACTTCCAACGTTCCTAATCACTCCTTCTCTATTTTTTAATTTTATTATTTATTAATTTTGACAAATTAAACAAAGGATATAAAATTTTAACTTATTATGTTCTTAACTAATTATTTTTCTTGAAAATTGAAGTCTTTTTATTATTTCACTTCATAATTAGTAAAAGTAAAATGATAAAGTCACGATATCAATTATTATTTTCTTAATAAATTAATTAATTAAATTTAAACAAGTAATTAAGAATAAAAAAATAATAAAAAAGTCTTTTGGCCAGAGTTATATTTTTTTATGTTATTTTACGTTTTTAAATATCTTTTAACCTTTTAACTTTAATACCCTTAACTAAAAAATGAAGAAAATATCAGTATATTTTAAAATTAAAAAAATATTATAAATTTTCTGATCAAATTTCTACTATTTAGCACTCTTCAAAAATGATTACTAAAAAAATACATATATTTGATTTGATGAAATGGAAAGAAAGATGACGAGGGTGTAAATGAAAGTGGTGTTGGGAAGGAAAATGTATGCATCGAATGAAAGAAAAAGGAAGAGGTTAGGAATCCGAATTATAGTCTTTCTAGGGGAAATAAGTGCATAGGAAAATAAGGAAAAAATATTTGAGCCATAAAAATTTGGTTAGAATGGTAAAAGGATATGTTTACACTATATCTTATTAATTTATTTTAGAAAAAAATTCAAAATATTAATATTATGATATTTAATAGATTTCATTGTCAATATTTTTAATATTGAGTAAAAATGTCAAAAAAGAAATAATTGTTAAAAACATAAAGGAGAAATTAACGGGAGAGAAAACTATTAAAAAGAAATAATTGTTTAAAAGTCTTATCTGTTGCAAAAATTCAAAAACAAAGAATTAATTGACAATTTATCAAAATACACTAACTTCCATCTCTTTGTTCTTCTTTTACCATGTTCTAAAAAACACACCTATCACCATTGTTTTTAAAATTCAGTTTTCTTAATTTTTTTTGAAGCAATTTATTCTACTAAGGCATATTTTGACATTATAAAATTATGATTTATCTTTAAAAATGTCTGAAATTTTATGAAGTTTATTTGGCTATAGTGTTAAAGTTATGAAGGTTATGTATCTTTTTTAAAGAAATTTTCCAGTATTCAGAATACAATACTCATGTATTCATGATATAGGTATTCATCCATCTTACATATGTATTTTATTTTGTTTATTTTCAATATCACTTTGTATACCAAATAGTTTGTACTTAGATTTGATTTCGTGTATACTATAAAATTTAGATTTAGATTTGATTTCGTATTCGTCCTAGTGTATATCATAGAGTTTTGTATTTATATTTTGATTTCGTATTCATTCTCAACTATAAATAGCCAAAATACAATTTGTTTATGTATTCATTATATGTGTATTCATCCTAATTGCGTCGGTCAAATATTTTGTATTTTATTTTGCTCATTACAGGTTTATACCAACTAGTTTATTTTTGATTTTGTATTCATTCACAATTTTAAATAATCAAAATACAGGTTTGTATTTAGATTATCACTTTGTAAACATAAATTTCACTACAAACTACAGAACATTCAAAATACTTTCAAATATTTTTATGAAACAACTCAATACCTAACTAAATTTGAAATATAAAAATAAATCATAAAGAAAGATCGACAAAAATTATTTTAAGTACTAAAAGTCTGAAATACATAAATATTTTATGAGTAAGTTAACAAACTCAAATAAAAATTTAAAAAAATAACGAAAAATTCTCAATACATACAATTCGAAAATTCAACATAATGTGTGATTTTGAAAACAAAATCTCGCAAAATAAATGATGAATTCAAAAATACCTTTATCAATTGAGAGATTTCTTGATTAATTGATCGATCTGAACAAATTGTTACGAACTTGAATAATTAGTTATTCTTCAACAATGAAGAGAATAATGAAGAAATTTTGATGAAAGAAAAAAAAGAAAAGTGAATGACGGGAATGGTGAAAACTGAAAAGTTGATGAAAGAGAAAAAAAATTGAAAAATAAAAGATAAAAAATAAATTTAATGATACTAAAGCATAAGAAAAATATAAATTATTTTCTAAAATATTGACATTTTGACATTTTCAATAATTATTTTAAAGTACAAATATTTTTACTAATTAAGTTAGAGATTGTGATTAGTTTGATAATTTTTCCATTTATTTTTGGATATTTTAGCCCTTTAACTTAAATATTGAATATATTTTTCAATTATATTTTCAATACATTGAAAACAATTAATGAGATTAACTATTAATGATTTCATAATTTAACACGAGAGAAACCACAAAATTAACCAAAAAAACATAAGTCTCACCTACTCTTCTTACTTCAAATTTTCAAGATCTAAAAAAAAATAGAAATATGACAGTAGAAGTAAAAAATTAATTTTAAGAAAATATGCTATTTTTGAATTTCTAATTTCATCCTTTCTACATATTCTTTTTTGTTTATTTATTTTTCATCTCTTGTTTCTGAATGATTAAAAAAATTAAAAAGTACAAAAGAGGAGTTTAAATTATAATTTTTAATCTTGAAAAAATAAATTATATCTAAATTTTATATATTAAAATTCATATTTATAATACTCAAAATTAAAAATTAAAAATTCCACAAGTTGGCAAAATAATTACTCTTATTTATTTAAACGAGTTGTTGTCACGCATGAATTTTCTAAGAAAAAATTTAGATGATAAAAATATATTCTATCCAATTATACTTAGAATTTATGTGAGCGAAACATGTAGACTTTATGTGAGCGAAATATGAAGAAAACTGAAATTACTATCATGTTTTCTCCATTTTTTGATTACTTTCATATCCTCGAATAATGACGTCATACACAAATAATGACTCATTAAAATTAATATTTATTTATTTATTTTAGTACTAGAAACGTATACAAATATTTTTTGGAAAAAAATGTTGATGGTTCTTCATTGAAAATTTATAATAACTAGGAAAGGATATAAAAAGTTCTTTATGATTACAAAATAAATTTTTATTAAAAAAAAACAAAAAAAGAAATCAAAAGAAAAAGTTCATAGTTTTCAGATGATAAAAATGACACAAATTTGTTAAACATGAACTAGATCAAAGTTTCATCACATATATATATTTCTTCATTAGTAATAGGAAAAAAGGATAAATATGCCCTCGAATTATCGAAAATGGTACGTCAATACCCTTCGTTATATTTTAAGGTTGTATATACTCTTACCGTAAATATTTTGGGTTGTGTCTACCCTTGCTACTATCGGTTGAACTGTGACTTCATTTTTAAAGATAATTATAAAATATAATATTCAAATCAGTATATTAGTGTTAAAAGAAATAATCAAATATCATATTATTTTTTAATATCGATGATAGTGTATTACAGGGGCGGAACCAGTAAGCTAGACGCGGGTGCTCGAGCACCCATTGATTTCCGAAATTTTTTGTATATATATATAGAAAATATGATACATATGTTATTATAATTTAAATGAGCACTCATAAAACAAATGCAGCTATAGTGAGCTGGTTTAAACCTTTGCAATAAGAGGTGTGTGAAGCCACTGTCGAGGGTTCAAATCTTGCTAGTAGCATTTCTTTTTTAAAAATATTTTCAGCGAATTTTACACCTGGAAGTGAGCACCCACAATCTTTAAATCCTGGATCCGCCACTGATGTATTAAATATATCGTAATGAAATTAAAATAAAGAAAACAAAATGCAACACTATCCCCAACAAATTGTGTTATAAAGTTAGATATGAAATAATATTATTTTGTGGGCTTGATTTTGGAATTGAATGATTTGTATATAATAGAAATAGATAAATGGTTAAATTATTTTACAAGTTCAAGACTAAAAATATCATAGATAAAATGTATTAAAAAATATTTTATGAAATTAAAATTTGTATAATTTAATTTTACATGTAATGAAAAGGAAAAGAGAAATAAAGATAAAAAAAGACGAAGAAAAGAGAACAAAGAAAGAGTGAATTAGGAAGAACTAAAAAAAAGTGAAAGTTAGATGGTAATGAATCCCACGTTATAAAATCTACTGAATAATTTCCTTCACACAACAGTTAATAATAGGAAATTCCAACTCATTAAGCATAATAATTATTGTTAATTATTATTCACACATTTTTAAAAGTTTAGGAAATAGT